TAACACAAACATATTTAGTTGTTGTTTTTTTTTTTTTTTCAAATACTAAATTTCCTTTCCTTATATTCCCTACCATTCTGCTTAGGCTGTTTGGCACTGAGAGTCTAGATACATAGTATGTATTACATGACTTTTCATTAGGTACATAATTTATTAGTAAATTTTTGGGTGTAGCAGGACATGTCTTTCTATGTTGAACAGGTTGTCACCATCCTCCTGATTCCTGGAATTATAGTCCTGTTTCACTGGACTTATCATCCAGGCAACGAAATTATTTCTCTACATTTTAAAGTGAAGCAAATATTGAGCCTCTCACTTTCTTAGTTCACATGTAAGCTTTGGGAACTGGAATTATCCATCTATTGCTTCTGTTATCTATTTTAAATCAGTCTATTTGTTATCGCTGATATCTCTAGTAGCCTAAAATTATTTTGAAGAACAAGATGGAGAAAAATTAATTTAAACTATGAAATCCTAAATAAACATACATACATACATACATACATACACCCGACCCCAAGATAGGGATTCTTTGTGAAGCCCTGGCTGTCCTGGAACTTGCTATTTACACCAGGCTGGCCTTGAACCCACAGGCCTGCCTCTGCTTCCTGAGTGCTGGTATAAAAGATATAGACCACCACTGGACAGCAGAATATATATATATATATATGTGTGTGTGTGTGTGTGTGTGTGTGTGTGTGTGTGTGTGTAGACAGTGACTAAAAGTTTTTAACTGAGATTATTCAAAAGTTAACTCAACCTCCCTTTATGGTCATAAAAAAAAGTATTTGTGCATCATTGTTTTGTTGTTATTTTTTGTTACATTCTCTTGGAAATAATAAAATATTTCTGAAACTGTTGCTTATTTCACTGAGTCATTACATTCTTCAAATTTCAAAGTTACGCTTATTAATGTTTGTAAACATATTTACCCATATAAACTTATTTGTTTTCCATATACCATCCAGTCCACTCAGTCCAAACAGATTAATCTTCATATATTATTTTTGGTGCAAGGTCAGGCATTCCTGATCTAATTTAGGAAATGGTTATTATTACCTGATAACTAAAATTTCAAAGACTCTGTGGGAAAAGTGGGGCTCCTTCATTCGTATTCATACTACCCTCTGGAGTGCCCTTATTTTCCCTGAAGATTGCTTGTCTTCCTCATAAGTAGGTACAGATGGAAGAAGGAGGGAGAAAAAGAAAAGACACACACAGACACACACACAGAGAGACAGACAGAGAGAGAGAGAGAGAGAGAGAGAGAGAGAGAGAGAGAATGAGAATCTTAAAGAGTTCCTAAATAAAAGGTTTTTGTTTTGTATGTGTCTCTTATTGTGCCCTTGACTAGAGAATCAAATAAGCTCTATAAAGCACTATAAAGAGGGCACAGGCATGGACATCTGTAGGCAAGGTGCCTGTTTATGCTTTCCTAACCTGGTGGTCCCCTTGCTCTCTGGACTCACACTTCCTCCATTTCAAGAGCAGACTTCTTTTACAGACACAACTCTTTTATTCACACCCTTGTTGAAGCAACTTTCTATCAGGATATGACAGTCTGTCAAATGCTCAGCCTCCCATAATATTGTCTCAGGATTTACCAAGGTATCATTTGAGTAGGAAGCTGACTGGAGTCAATGAATTTTTCTCCCAAAACAAATGCAGGCTTAGTTGCTATTGGATTATATTTTTATTTGGAGTTAAGTTGGCGATGATGGTTAGAATTCTTCTATCACTTTACTCTTCTCATTCTCAAATAGTCATCGGTTCACCTATCTCAAGTTAGATGTAGCATTCATCACAATTATAATTAAAATTTACAGTAATTACCTATTTTCTATATTCTTCATCCCTCATATATTTCACATTATTGGTGTCTATTATTTGGTCTATTCCAGCAGCTGACAGTATCTAGCACATAGTGGGTGCTCATAACAGTTGGGTATGAAGTAATGTGTCCAAAGGATCATTGTCTAAGGTTGCTTCCCAACCTTGATTTTGTTGCAGATCTTACTGATTTCATATCAGTTTAAAATTAAATGTATTGTAGTGTTATATTTCAGAATATGAATACTGTAATGGATAAGAGGAGTCAAAATTACTGTTGAAATACAGATAAAGGAAGAAAAACTGGCCCTGTTTGATGTGGTAATGAGAACAGAGCAAAGACTGGGCCAACATTTTTATGAATGCTTTCTATAGCTTACCTGCATGTATACCTTCAGTATTCTTAGCTGCCAATATGAGAGATAACAGTTCACAGTAACAAGACATATTTGTTGTTTGCTGCAATGTGCTTCTTGCTAAATTGAATTGATGCAGAGTCAGCTTCTAACCCTTATATTTCCAGTTAAGTTACATTGCATGGATGTGTACAGAGGATTTTTATAATGTGTGAGGCAGCAGAATGATCCTGCTTTACTAGCTTTCAAATACTGAAGAGTGCTTGTTTTCACTTTTCATTGGATCAAACATGACTTGGTTTGTTGAGCTGAATCTAGGTAACCCTCTTTTAATACTGTTTTGCTGTCCTGTACTTTGTAGAGCAGGCTGGCTTTGAGCTCACAGAGATCTGCATGCCTCTCTTTTTAATAGTATTAATCCTGGGAATCATATTGTGGACCAAACCTTTCATTGTAAATACAGTAGACTTTGTCTTTTTCAAAAGTTGCAGATAATTTTAATTTTCTCTATTTAGTTCTTTTGTCATTATAAAAATCATTTTCACAAAGAACTTAAAGTTCAAACTTTTTTGTTTGTTTGTTTTTGAGATAGTATCTCATTATGTAGGTCTGTCTCTCCTGGAACTAACTAGACCAGACTGACCTGAAATTCACAGAGATCCTCTTGCTTTTGTCTCATGAGTGCTAGCTAGGATTAAAGATGTGTGCCACCATACCTGGCTCATTTCAAACAAAGTTTTATCAAATACTGTTGCATGATTCTTTTAGTCACAATTTTGGCTGTATTTAAAAAACATCTTGTATGGTAGGCAATCAGAACAAGCTGCACACTTTCTGTTTTCTTTATATACTGTATCCACTCAGTTGTAAAGATATCACCCAGGGAACTCTAAGTACCTATGTTTGAGTATCATTGTGTCATTTCCTTTCTCAAATACATAAACTTTGTTTTCCTTTTGGGTACTACTAGAAAAAGTTGAACTGTTTAAAAATGTGCAGTTTTTAAGTTTTAAATGTATTTTTACACTATCTTATTTCAGTGAACAAAAAATATTTCTCATTCTCATAGTCTAGCTAAAGATACATATTTGAAGCTGCTTCAAGTCCATTGCCAAGACCTCTTAAAATATGAGTATTCCTGGGAATTTTATTTTATGGATGATACATTGGATTAATAAAAGAAAAATGAAAACTGGGTTGGTTGCTACCTAGTTTCCCATACAAGCCACTGGAAGCACAAACTCGGTACTGTCTAGTGTCCAGTGATTTGTTTCATGCAGAATGTGGTTTTGGAACGCAGTGAGAAACTCGGCTAGTTATTTTCATTTTTGTCTGAAAAGTGAAAGATTGTTTTTCAAACTGAAGAAAAATAAATGAGAAGGGCTAGATTCATTTGGGAAGAAGTTTTGAAAAATAAGTATTTTCTGAAAGAGATAGTCAGTTTGGCTATGCTATTTAAGGTGGAATTTGTGACTTTTGCCTCGCCCTTTGTTTCCAACCACATTAAAATGGATCCAATTAAATGTGTCATTTGGTCTTTCTAACATCAGGAAACTATTTAGCTGACCAAAATAATGAATGTTTGATTGACTCATTTCTAATAATATGCTAGACAAGATGGTTTTAGATAAATTTGGTATACAAAGAATTTGTGGTTGTATGGTTGTGAGTTTTAAGGAAAAACTCTTATAGTATGAATCCATAGAGACACCATCTGATGGAGTCAACACCCCACACTCAAGGGCCTTCAGTTATGTCTCTTGAGTGCAGAAGTTCCTAGCATTTTTACTTGTTATTGGCTAGTCTTCAGGAAAACACATGTATCACTAATATAGATATTAAGATATTAATACAGCATCTACCATTAATGTGATACTAATATATTACACATTAAATAAAGAAAAATAATGTTTTGATGTCTTTAACAGTACATTCCTCTAGGTGGATTTTAGGCAAATATTTTAAATTTCAAACTATATTTTGCAATTTTACTATTATACTTTTAATTGTTTCATAACAAAAGATTGCATCCATAGCCATAGTATATATTTCAATTTTTATTTTCTCTCCTGATAAACATGAGTAATATTTTAGTTTGTTTTAGGAGTATCAATCTTTGAATATCCATCTTCAGACAGGGAGTGGGATTTTTAAGGTCAACATAGTTCCATAGTAGATAGCCAACTAGTTTCTTAGATGAGGGTCCTGAAGCTAGCACAGATGAAACAAACTGAAGTTGTCAACCAGGTCTCGGACCTGGCATTTGAATTCAGCCACTGGTCTCTGCAGTGCTTTCACTCAGTTCCCTAGCTCTTAGGGCACATTGGAATTTTTTTAAATTTATTTTACATATTAACCAGAGTTTCCCCCTCCTTGCTCTCCTCCAGCTCTCTTCACCCCCTCCATTCTTTCCTCCCCCATCCACTCCTCAGAAATGTAAGGCCTCCCATGGGAGTCAACAAAGTATGGCATATCAAGTTGAGGCTTAACCAAGCTCCACCCTCCTGCATCAAGGCCAACTTACTGGAAATTTGTGACAAAGATTTGAATGGAGGCTGTAGCTGATTTAGATTGCTTACAAGTGTGGATTGTAATTAACTGGAAATAAGATGAGGATGCTTGTGGGGAATACTTCCCTGGCCCCCTGCAGATGACAGGAGGGTCCTCATGTGGATTTGGAGGATCTCAGAGAACAATTGTTTCCCAACTATAGTGGGCACTGTACAGGAAGGAAGGCACAACTGAAAAGGTTATTACTAGAAGTAGCCATTTCAATGGATTCTTTTCTAAAACAGGAAAACATTTTCTTTTCAGCTCCAGCACCCACCACAGCAGTGCCCTACCTGTCAATAAAATGTGTGGATGTCCGTAAGAATCACCATAAAACAAGATGGCTGGTGCCTTGGGGACCCAACAAGTGTGAAAAGATCAGAGACATTGAAGAAGCAATTCCAAGGGAAATTGAAGCCAATGACATTGTGTTTTCTGTACACATTCCCCTCCCTTCTATGGAGATGAGCCCATGGTTCCAGTTTATGCTGTTTATCCTGCAGCTAGACATTGCTTTCAAGCTGAACAACCAAATCAGTAAGTACCCTAACTGCTTTGACTACTTGTGGGAATTTCCTTCCTACTAGTGTGAATGATGATTAGCTGCTTGCTGCTTCCTGTGCACTTTCTGAGCCCTTCATCTGAATCAACTCATTTAATCTCTCCAAATTCCTTAAGAAAAGTATCTGTAGTATTGCATTTTACATCTAGATCACTTGGCTTATGGAGAGATTGTCCACAGTCAGACCTGTTGATCCATTTCATTGTCCCCTGTTTTAATGTTTATGCCCAGCTGATATGTTAATATAATAGAATGCTTATGAGAATTGGTTTGAGAGTGTTCCTGAGACAGATTTAAGTTCCTGAACTAAAAACTCATGTGTATATGCATGCAAAGACTTCTGTGGAGGTTAGAGAACAATTTTTAACTGATATTTCTCCCCTTCCCCTGTGGGGTTCTGGGGCTAGAACATCAGGCATATGCAGTTTTTCAGTTACTGTTCTATTGCTGTGAAGAGACACTATGACTAAGGCAATTCTCTAAAAAAAGCATTTAAGTTGGGCATGGTTGCACAAGCCTTTAATCCCAGCATCTGGGAAGCAGAGGCAAGTGAATCACTTGAGTTAAATAAAGGCTAGCCTAGTCTACAGAATGAGTTCTAGGATAGCCACAGCTACACAGAAACCCTGTCTCAAAGCACAGTTTAAATTGAGGTTTTCCTTACAGTTTTAGAAAGTCAGGCCATGATCACCATGATGGGAACTAGACAGACATGGGGCTGGAGCAATAGTTGAAAGTTCACATCCATCCTGATCTGCCAACAGCAGGCAGATAGAGAGATACTGGCCTTGCATGGGCCTTTGAACCATCAAAACTCATCCCTAAGGACATAACTCCTTTAACAAAACAACATCTATTGTGATAAGGCCACACCTCCTAATACTTTTCAAACAATTCCACTAACTGGGGACCAGGCATTCAAACATAGGAGCCTATGCTGGCAGTTCTCATTCAAACCATTACATGCAGCAAGTCCTTTTATCTGCTGAGTTATTGAACTGCCCTCTGGCATCCTTTATTCAAAGTTCTATAATGTTAAACAATTTATAAAACTTCTCTGAACCACTTTTATGTGCAAAAATTGAATAAAAATATCTATTCAACCAAATAATTTTGAAGAATAATCAATTATTTCAAAATAAAAAAAATAAAAGTCATATTCCTGAATTTTAGCCCATCCCCTCCCTCTTTCTCTCCCTCCTTCTTTTCTTTCCTTCCTTCCTTCCTACCTACACCTTGTAGTGGAATTAAGTTCTTACAAAATAATTTTATCATTTAATCTCTCTCGCATGCTCTCTCTCTCTTGTTTTTTTTTTGTTGTTGTTGTTTTTCATGTTTTTTGTTTGTTTGTTTGTTTTGTTTTGTTTTGTTTTTCGAGATAGGGATTCTCTGTATTGCTTTGGAGCCTGTCCTGGAACTAGCTCTGTAAACCAGGCTGGCCTTGAACTCACAGAGATCCGCCTGCCTCTGCCTCCTGAGTGCTGGGATTGAAGGTGTATGCCACCAATGCCTGGTTTTATCATTTAATCTTAATCTTTTCCCTGTGTGAAACATCTTTAATGACGAACAAATAAAGCCTGTCAATTCAGAGTTCTCTCCATTGTGTTCTATAGCTTTTTTGAAGCTTCTTTCCTTCTTTCCTTCCTCCCTCCCTTCCTCCCTCACTTTCTTCCTTCCCTCCAGTAGCTTTGGCTATCTGGAATTGTCTCTGTAGACCAAGCTGACCTGGAACTCAAGAGATCCACCTGACTATGAAGTGCTGGGATTCCATCACCACCCAATACAGCTTTATTTATTATACTTGACATGCATATATTACCTGCATTGTCAAACAATCTCATACTCTGTGAACGCATCCAGAGATTGCTTCCATCAACACATTTGCACATAATGATTTTTTTTTTCTTTTTAAGTGCTAGCATACTGGACAAATGGTCTACCACTGAACCATACCTTAAGCCCCATCTCCTCTTCTTTTACCATTCTCACTTTCTGTTATAGATGAAAGGCATCTTGTTGAAAACCTAGTCATTCTTTAAGACATTCCAGTTGTTACATGCCCTAGAGCCTTCCCAGATGTTTTCTCATTTCCTTCGTAAATACAGTTTATCTTCTCTGAACCCATTATTGGCTGAGCAATGTCTACTTTGACAGCCTAGCACAAGTGAATTATTTTCTTTGGCTCCTTGATAGATTGGCTCCCTGATTGTGATCATGTTTATATTTGTTAAACTGTAGCTTTGTGAGTAGGAAACTATGAATGAAAATGTCTCTTAGATCAGATCATTCTGTGACAAAAACAGGATATCAAATAACTGATGGAGGTGTTTGCCCCCTTTCCACTCTAAGACAACACTTTTGTTATTTAAGGAATATTTCAGTTACCAGTGACATTAATTCTAGTTATAGCTACTTAAATATTGCTTGCATGATTGAATTATGGCTGAGATGTTTACAACTGACTGAAAGGTGATGTATTGCTAGGAATAATAGCTTGTTGCCATAGCAGCTACTGTTTGGTGCAATACTTAGGTTTTTAGAGCATGGATCTGTTTATCAGATTATAAGAAAAACTGAATCATTTTGATACTCTGACTTTTGTGTAAAATGGTTGACCTATAATTGGTTTCATTTCAGCATTAAAGTTATTTAATAAAATAAATCACAGCATCTGGTAAATGTATGTGAAGTTTTAGAAGTTGATAGTATGTTCCTAAATTTTATTCCACTCAATTTATAGAATATTGTTAGGTGAATACATGAATACAACTGCCTCAACCTGTATAATATATCTGCATGTGTACAGTCTCAGGGCCAATAATTTGGTACTGGATAACCAATTGAAAGACTCATTCCTGGTGAAGATAATTTCTCCCAGTCTCAACATTCCCCAGTTGCTTATAGTTCTTTGTCTAACATTGAAACTCTGTAACTTTCTGCTCTTCTATATTAGTGTGTTCATTGTTGAGATTTCATTTAGGCAGCCATTTTGGTGGTATTTCATGAGTATAGCTTCTTTGGCATTACTAGGAGATGCAATTTCACAGCAAAATCCCAATCCTCTGAGTTTTTCCATCTTTCTGTCCCATTTTCTGCAATTGTGTTGCAGATGTGTCAGTTGGGACTGGGAACCATGAGATCTCTCTTGTTCTCTACATTTTGAACATTTGTGGTTTTCTGTAATATTGTTCATCTGTTGCAGAAAAGTTTCTGTGATGAACGGTGTGGTGGTTTGAGTAGGCATGGTCTCCATAGACTTATGTATTTGAATACTTCGCCTATAGGGAGGGGATCCCTATTGAAGTAGGTATGGCCTTGTTGGAGGAAATGTATTTCAGTCTGCTGCCTATCGATAAAGATGTAGAACTCTCAGCTCCTTTCACAGCAACATGTCTACATGTATGCTGCCATGTTTATCATCATGACAATAATAGATTTAACCCCCAAAACTGTAACCCAGTTTTCTATTAATAAGAATTGCTGTGATCTAATATTTTCTATTATAAGAGTTGCTGTGATCATGGTCTCTCTTCACAGCAATAAAACCCTAACTAAGACAGAAGTTGGTATTGGTGACTGGGGTATGTTTGGAGAAATATGGACTTTGGGAGTTTGGATTAGGAGAGCAGTGATGCTTTAATCAGGGACTTAATGGGCCATACTAGTAGGAACATGAAAGACAGTGTGCTGAGAATGATTTGAACTGTGGGGGCCTGGCTCAAGCAGTTTTAAAGAAGAAGAATATTAATATGTGGGTTAGAGAGCATTCTTTTGATATTTTGGTGAAGAATGTGGCTGCTTTTGCCCTTGTCTGAAGAGTCTGCCTGAAGCTAAAGTGAAGAGATTTGAGTTAATGTGGACAGAAGAAATCTCAAAACAGCTATATATAACTGTAATTATTAGTGGTTACTCTAATGAAGATCTATAATGAAGATCTGTGTTAGTGGTTACTCTAATGAAAAGGAGCAAGCTAAGAAAGAAAAAATACAAACTGTACAGATTGAATAAAAAGGGGGCACCAGGAAGTGGAATGGAGCTAAGTCCTGTGTTCAAGGAGATAAACAGAATTAAGAAATGGAATAAAGGGAGTGGTGACCTCAGGGCAAGATCCCATACAACTTAGCTTCCAACTTGTAAAAAGGAATTAATTCCAGTACTTAGAAAACAGAGGCTGGTGGATCTCTGAATTTGAGGCCATCCTGGTCTACAGATCAAGTTTCAGAACAGCCAAGCTTAGGCAATGAAAGAAACCATTTGAAAATAGAAAGTCAGTGAATGTATAATTGAAAGAGGGAACCATTCTCCAGCTCCAACAAGAAGCAGAACTTGGCAGTTTGCCATGTGGTTCTGGCTGTGGAGTTAAGGATAGAAGAAATGGATTATAGAATCTACCTCCTGGATGAAGAAAAGCCACCAAGGCCAGGCATGTGTTATTGGTATCCCTGAATGGAGGCCTAGTGAGGGCATTGCATGAAGCTGTAAAGGTGATGCCTGCATTGCCTTGGAGACCCCAAGATGTTGGAGATGCTTTTTTGTAGAAGACTTTCCAAGGAAAGCTGCATACAGGGAATGAAGCTAGCCCAAGAGAAAGAAGTTTGTTGTAGTCAACAAAGCTGAGTGGCATTGGAGAAGAGTACTTTGATATCAGAATTGAGGTGTGAAGTTTAGAGGTTGGCCAGCTGGTTTTGCATCTTGTTTGGTCCAGTATTTCCTCACTGTGCTCCCTTCCTTGCCCTTTGGAGTTGTAATGTATATTTCGTGCCATTATATGTTGGAACTATGTGATCTGTTTTTTATTTTGATTTTGTGGGATAGTTAAGAGATTGCATGAATCTCAGAAAAGACTGTGAACCTTGGAATTTTAAACATTGTTGAGATTTGAAAGACTATGAGGAACTTTGAAGTTGAACTAAATATATTTTTCATTATTTTATGGCTACAAGCCTATGAAGGACAGGGAGTAAAATGTAGTGGT